GATAAATTTTTTTATTTGGATAAATTGGATAAATTTTTTCCTATGGAAAATGTTATCCGGATAAATTTTTTTCCATAGAAAAATGTTATCCGGATAAATTTTTTTCTACAGAAAATGTTATCCGGATAAATTTTTTCCTATAGAAAATTTTATCCGCATAAATTTTTTCCTATAGAAAAATGTTATCCGGATAAATTTTTTCCTATACAAAAATGTATCCGGAAGAATTTTTTTCTATGGAAAATTTCTATAGAAAATATATAGAAAAATGTATCCGGATAACATTTTTTCTATAGAAAAATGTATCCGGATAACATTTTTTCTATAGAAAAATGTATCCGGATAACATTTTTTCTATAGAAAAATGTATCCGGATAACATTTTTTCTATAGAAAAATGTATCCGGATAACATTTTTTCTATAGAAAAATGTATCCGGATAACATTTTTTCTATAGAAAAATGTATCCGGATAACATTTTTCTACTGCAAAAAAATTTATCCGGATAACATTTTTCTACAGCAAAAAAATTTATCCGGATAACATTTTTCGATAGGAAAAAATTTGTCCGGATAACATTTTTCTATAGAAAAAAAATTTATCCGGATAACATTTTTCTATAGAAAAAAAATTTATCCGGATAACATTTTTCTATAGAAAAAAAATTTATCCGGATAACATTTTTCTATAGAAAAAAAATTTATCCGGATAACATTTTTCTATAGAAAAAAATTTATCCGGATAACATTTTTCTATAGAAAAAAAATTTATCCGGATAACATTTTTCTATAGAAAAAAAATTTATCCGGATAACATTTTTCTATAGAAAAAAAATTTATCCGGATAACATTTTTCTATAGAAAAAAAATTTATCCGGATAACATTTTTCTATAGAAAAAAAATTTATCCGGATAACATTTTTCTATAGAAAAAAAATTTATCCGGATAACATTTTTCTATAGAAAAAAAATTTATCCGGATAACATTTTCTATAGAAAAAAATTTATCCGGATAACATTTTCTATAGAAAAAAATTTATCCGGATAACATTTTCTATAGAAAAAAAATTATCCGGATAATATTTTCTATAGAAAAAATTTATCTGGATAACATTTTCTACAGAAAAAAATTTATCCGGATAACATTTTCTATAGAAAAAAATTTATCCGGATAACATTTTTCGATAGAAAAAAATTTATCCGGATAACATTTTTCGATAGAAAAAAATTTATCCGGATAACATTTTTCGATAGAAAAAAATTTATCCGGATAACATTTTTCGATAGGAAAAAATTTATCCGGATAAAATTTACTGTCCGGATAAATTTTTTCTAAAGGAAAATCTACTTGGAATATTTTTTTCTAAAGAAATATGTACCCGGATAATTTTTTTCTAAAAAAAAATTATCCGGATATATGTTTCTATAGAAAAATTTATCCGGATATATTTTTTCTATAGAAAAAATTTGTCCGTATATCATTTTCTATAGAAAAAAATTTATCCGGATACAGTTTTCTATAGAAAAAAAATTAAAAATTATTTCGATAAATATTTCTTTAAAAAAAATTTCCGAATATTTTTTCTATAGAAAAACTTTGTTATTTTTCTTTAATTTGTGGAAATTGCGTGACATTGTCTTCGTGTTTGAGGGTCGCATAACCTTGCCTTCCTAGAACAAAGGAAGGTGGAAAGGGAAACGGCAATTCAAACATCACGTGCCTGAGAGTGGGTGGGTAATCACAACAAAGGCCGATAGCGGTGTTAATGATGGCATGATGATGTTAGATTTGTCTGCTTCTTCTTCTTCGTGGAAAAACATGATTATGACTTCATGACAGCGGCAATGACTTGCTGACTACCAGGGGGCCTCTTCTTGGCCCTTCACGTGTTTTCTCTGAGGAACTTTAAAAAATGGAGGGTAGGTTCTTTAGGCTTTTTTAAGGCATAAAATTTTCATTAAAGAAATCATTTTTTCGGAAAATTACACAACGCAAACCTTCACACGCCTTTCGTAATATCCAATTACAACATTTTCAATTAATTGAACATGGAAGGAAAGGAAAGAGAATTCATTTCAACATGTATGTAGAACATGTCCGACACCACACACAAATATTTATTTTATAGATAAAAAAAATAAAAAAAACACAAATTGTTATAAAAAAAATTTGTACAACAGCAGAATGCCTTGTTACGATTTTGCACAATCTTGTTTGTTTTTTTTTTCTGTTCGCTCCCAAGCGATAAGAGCTTTGGCTTGATGACAATTAATTATTATAAAATATTTTACAATATTTATAGGGACAATTCGGGGTTGGGGTGGGGGGAAGTGCTTGTTAGGAAGCTAGGTGTTTGATGGATGTCTGAAATGCCGCCAATATTACATATATCAGAGGGGCGCACAGAATACACAACAACCACGACAATACGAAACTGAAATGCTAGCCCTGCATTCCTGACCACAATTCGATGTCGAATGGGTTAGAACCTCTGCTGACATTGAACTGTTGGGCAAAGAGATAGGAGGGGTAGTGGGTGTCATCATCACCATTAAACCACACCACATCATCTTTGACGGAAGTACCGGAACAGATAAATACGATACACTTTTGTTTTGAGATTCTAACAATGAAATGTGGTAAAGAGATAAGGAATGTGTTTTATAGTAATTACAGCAACAACAATGACAACAACGGCAACATGAATGATATAAGACAACGACAAAAAACAACAAAGATAAACATTGTTGCTATTTCCAAGTACAGTACGGTAGTATACAGATGGGGATATATTCTTCCTAGAAAACGATATTCGGATAATTTTTTCCTATCGAAAAATGTTATCCGGATAAATTTTTTCTATAAAAACTGTTATATTTATCCGGATAACATTTTCTATAGAATAAAATTTATCCGGATAACATAGAAAATGTTATTCGGATAAATTTTTTTCCATAGAAAATATTATCCGGATAAATATTTTCCTATCGAAAAATGTTATCCGGATAACATTTTCTATGGAAAAAAATTATCCGGATAATATTTTCTATGGAAAAAAATGTATCCGAATAATATTATCTATGGAAAAAAATTATCCGGATAACATTTTCTATGGAAAAAATTTATCCGCATAACATTTTCTATAGGAAAAAATTTATCCGCATAACATTTTCTATAAGAAAAAAATTTATCCGGATAACATTTTTGATAGGAAAAAATTTATCCGGATAACATTTTTCTATAGGAAAAAATTTATCCGGATAACATTTTTCTATAGGAAAAAATTTATCCGGATAAATCTCTTCCTATCGAAAAATGTTATCCGGATAAATCTTTTCCTATCGAAAAATGTTATCCGGATAAATTTTTTCCTATCGAAAAATGTTATCCGGATAATTTTTTTCCTATCGAAAAATGTTATCCGGATAAATTTTTTCCTATAGAAAATGTTATCCGGATAAATTTTTTCCTACAGAAAAATGTTATCCGGATAAATTTTTTCCCTATAGAAAATGTTATCCGGATAAATTTTTTCCCTATAGAAAATGTTATCCGGATAAATTTTTTCCCTATAGAAAATGTTATCCGGATAAATTTTTTCCCTATAGAAAATGTTATCCGGATAAATTTTTTCCCTATAGAAAATGTTATCCGGATAAATTTTTTCCCTATAGAAAATGTTATCCGGATAAATTTTTTCCCTATAGAAAATGTTATCCGGATAAATTTTTTCCCTATAGAAAATGTTATCCGGATAAATTTTTTTTCTATGGAAAAATGTATCCAGAAAAAATTTTTCTATAGAAAAATGTTATCCGGATAAATTTTTTCTATAGAAAATGTTATCCGGATAAACTTTTTCTATAGAAAATGTTATCCGGATAAATTTTTTCTATAGAAAATGTTGTCCGGATAATTTTTTTCTATAGAAAATGTTGTCCGGATAAATTTTTTCTATAGAAAATGTTGTCCGGATAAATTTTTTCTATAGAAAATGTTATCCGGATATATTTTTTCAATGGAAAATGTTATCCGGAAAAAGTTTTTCAATGGAAAATATTATCCGGATACATTTTTTTCTATGGAAAATTTTATCCGGATAATTTTTTTCTATGAAAAATTTTATCCGGATATTTTTTTTCTATGGAAAATTTTATCCGGATAATTTTTTTTCTATAGAAAATGTTTTCCGGATAATTTTTTTTCTACAGAAAATGTTATCCGGATAAATTTTTTCAATGGAAAATATTATCCGGATAAATTTTTTCAATGGAAAATATTATCCGGATAAATTTTTTCAATGGAAAATGTTATCCGGATAATTTTTTTCCTATAGAAAATATTATCCGGATAAAGTTTTTATATCCGGATAAATTATTTCTAAATAAAATGTTATTCGGATAAATTTTTTTCCTATAGAAAAATGTTATCCGGATATTTTTTTCTATTTTTTTCTAAAATTCTACCATAATCTACAACAACGAGTACACGGTAGACAGACGAAATGTGCGGATGATTGGTTGTGTGCTTTACAATTTGTTCTCTGTAAATTTCAAAACGAAATGTATACAACTTCAGTAGCCATCAGTTCGATATGTACATAGGTATGTATCTACGTTTGTATAGATGTAAAAAAAAATGGAAAATGTAGAATAAATATCCAATGGCACAGAGGTGTTGAGCAGAGACACTTAGTGCACTATAAAGGGAATTATATTGGGGGCTGGAAGGCCAGGAAGAACTTGAAAGGTCCTTCCAACACCCAGACATAGCGATATACACAAAGGGGGCGAGGGGAGGAGACAAAGAGAGCTGGCTGATACTCTTGGCCATCTCTTGGTGAAATTACAAATATTTATTTTGTGTTTTTTTTTTCTGGTGAGGAGGACATTGAAATTATATTACAACAAAATGATTTACACGAGAAGTAGGAGAGAAGAAGTGGAATAAATAATTGTTTTTTTGGAAATAAAAGGAAGAAAGTAAGAAATTTTTAAATACCGAATTCGGATACAAAGTAATCTCGTAATTTCGTTTTGGACCTCTTTATGGGCTCCTCTCGTGGATGATGGATGGTCAACTGATCACCATCGGCGGAGATAATGGTCTCAGTGGTGGGCGACAGAGCGTACTGTTCCATCAGACGACGTTCCTGATCTTGATCGGCCTCCTCTTCGGGAGTCTTCGATTCCGATTTCAATTTCATCAGCTGTTGAGTCACAAAGAGTTTTTGTGCATTCTCTTCGGCTTCCTTTTGTTTTTTGAAATCTGTTTTTTCGATATTTTTTTTGTTTTCGAATTTTCGATTTTAATGTGGATGGTGGTGGTGGTGGGTGTTGGTTGTGGTGTTGTAGTTGTTAGTAAAAAAATTGAAAATAAACAAGAAATTTCAATTAATATTTTCTTTTGGAAATTCAACCAAATTTTTTGGAGAAACGATCATGGAAAACTACTAGTCATGGGTGCACAAAAGAGAGCGAGCGCAAGCCAAATGAAGCACGCGTGGGTTTTAGTTAAGCAAAACTAAAAGAAAATTGAAATCAAAAATATTTATTTTTAAAAAATAAAATTTCAAAAATTATCCGGATAACATTCTCTATAGGAAAAAATTTATCGGGATAAAATTTTCTATAGAAAAAAAATATCCGGATCAAATTTTCTATAGAGAAAAAATTATCCGGATCAAATTTTCCATAGAAAAAAATTTATCCGGATAAAATTTTCTATAGAAAAAAAATTATCCGGATCAAATTTTCTATAGAAAAAAAATTATCCGGATCAAATTTTCTATAGAAAAAAAATTATCCGGATCAAATTTTCTATAGAAAAAAATGATCCGGATCAAATTTTCTATAGAAAAAAATGATCCGGATAACATTTTCTATAGAAAAAAATTATCCGGATAACATTTTCTATAGGAAAAAATTTATCCGAATAAAATTTTTCAAAAGCATATCATTTATCCGGATAATTTTTTCTATAAAAAATGTTTAAATGTTTTCTATAGAAAATGTTATACGGATAAATTGTTTCTATAGAAAATGTTATGCGGATAAATTTTTTCTGTAGAAAATGTTATCCGGATAAATTTTTTCCTATAGAAAATGTTCCGGATAAATTTTTTCTATTGAAAATGTTATCCGGATAAATTTGTTTCCTAAAGAAAATGTAATCCGGATAAATTTGTTCTATAAAAAATGTTATCGGGATAAATTTTTGTATAGAAAATGTTATTCGGATAAAATTTTTCTATAGAAAATGTTATTCGGATAAAATTTTTCTATAGAAAATGTTATTCGGATAATTTTTTTCTATAGAAAATGTTATGCGGATAAATTTTTTCTATAGAAAATGTTATGCGGATAATTTTTTTCTATAGAAAAATGTTTATCCGGATAATTTTTTTCTATAGAAAATGTTATCTGGATAATTTTTTTCCTATAGAAAATGTTATCCGGATAAAATTTTTCCTATAGAAAATGTTATCCGGATAAATTTTTTTCTATAGAAAATGTTATCTGGATAAATTTTTTTCTATAGAAAATGTTATCCGGATAAATTTTTTTTCTATAGAAAATGTTATCCGGATAAATTTTTTTTCTATAGAAAATGTTATCCGGATAAATTTTTTTTCTATAGAAAATGTTATGCGGATAAATTTTTTCTATAGAAAATGTTATGCGGATAAATTTTTTCGTATAGAAAATGTTATCCGGATAAATTTTTTCGTATAGAAAATGTTATCCGGATAAATTTTTTCGTGTAGAAAATGTTATCCGGATAAATTTTTTCGTGTAGAAAATGTTATCCGGATAAATTTTTTCGTATAGAAAATGTTATCCGGATAAATTTTTTCGTATAGAAAATGTTATCCGGATAAATTTTTTCGTATAGAAAATGTTATCCAGATAAATTTTTTCGTATAGAAAATATTATCCGGATAAATTTTTTCGTATAGAAAATGTTATCCGGATAAATTTTTTCGTATAGAAAATGTTATCCGGATAAATTTTTTCCTATAGAAAATGTTATCCGGATAATTTTTTTCAATAGAAAATATTATCCGGATAATTTTTTTCAATAGAAAATATTATCCGGATAAATTTTTTTCAATAGAAAATATTATCCGGATAAATTTTTTCTATAGAAAATGTTATCCGGATAAATTTTTTCTATAGAAAATGTTATCCGGATAAATTTTTTCTATAGAAAATGTTATCCGGATAAATTTTTTCTATAGAAAATGTTATCCGGATAAATTTTTTCTATAGAAAATGTTATCCGGATAAATTTTTTCTATAGAAAATGTTATACGGATAAATTTTTTCCAATAGAATATGTTATACGGATAAATTTTTTCCAATAGAATATGTTATACGGATAATTTTTTTCTATAGAAAATGTTATCCTGATAATTTTTTTCCTATAGAGAAAATGTTATCCGGATAAATTTTTTCCTATAGAGAAAATGTTATCCGGATAATTTTTTTCCTATAGAGAAAATGTTATCCGGATAAATTTTGTCTATAGAAAATGTTATCCGGATGACATTTTTAATGGGAAGCAATTTATCCGGATACATTTTTCCTTAGATACATTTTTCCATAGGAAAAAGTTATCCCGATACATTTTTCCATAGGAAAAAGTTATCCGGATAAATTTTTCCATAGAAAAAAGTTATCCGGATAACATTTTCTATAGAAAAAAATTTATCCGGATAACATTTTCTACAGAAAAAATTTATCCGTATACATTTTTCTAAAGAAAAAAATTATCCGTATACATTTTTCTAAAGAAAAAAATTATCCGGATAAAATTTTCTATAGAAAAAATTTATCCGGTAACATTTTCTATAGAAAAAAATATCCGAATATTTTTTTTTCTTCAATTTTTTTTCCGATAAAGATTTGGTTAGAAAATATTCACGATCAAATTTTCCATAGAAAAAAATTTATCCGGATAAAATTTTCTATAGAAAAAAAATTATCCGGATCAAATTTTCTATAGAAAAAAAATTATCCGGATCAAATTTTCTATAGAAAAAAAATTATCCGGATCAAATTTTCTATAGAAAAAAATGATCCGGATCAAATTTTCTATAGAAAAAAATGATCCGGATAACATTTTCTATAGAAAAAAATTATCCGGATAACATTTTCTATAGGAAAAAATTTATCCGAATAAAATTTTTCAATAGCATATCATTTATCCGGATAATTTTTTCTATAAAAAATGTTTAAATGTTTTCTATAGAAAATGTTATACGGATAAATTGTTTCTATAGAAAATGTTATGCGGATAAATTTTTTCTGTAGAAAATGTTATCCGGATAAATTTTTTCCTATAGAAAATGTTCCGGATAAATTTTTTCTATTGAAAATGTTATCCGGATAAATTTGTTTCCTAAAGAAAATGTAATCCGGATAAATTTGTTCTATAAAAAATGTTATCGGGATAAATTTTTGTATAGAAAATGTTATTCGGATAAAATTTTTCTATAGAAAATGTTATTCGGATAAAATTTTTCTATAGAAAATGTTATTCGGATAATTTTTTTCTATAGAAAATGTTATGCGGATAAATTTTTTCTATAGAAAATGTTATGCGGATAATTTTTTTCTATAGAAAAATGTTTATCCGGATAATTTTTTTCTATAGAAAATGTTATCTGGATAATTTTTTTCCTATAGAAAATGTTATCCGGATAAAATTTTTCCTATAGAAAATGTTATCCGGATAAATTTTTTTCTATAGAAAATGTTATCTGGATAAATTTTTTTCTATAGAAAATGTTATCCGGATAAATTTTTTTTCTATAGAAAATGTTATCCGGATAAATTTTTTTTCTATAGAAAATGTTATCCGGATAAATTTTTTTTCTATAGAAAATGTTATGCGGATAAATTTTTTCTATAGAAAATGTTATGCGGATAAATTTTTTCGTATAGAAAATGTTATCCGGATAAATTTTTTCGTATAGAAAATGTTATCCGGATAAATTTTTTCGTGTAGAAAATGTTATCCGGATAAATTTTTTCGTGTAGAAAATGTTATCCGGATAAATTTTTTCGTATAGAAAATGTTATCCGGATAAATTTTTTCGTATAGAAAATGTTATCCGGATAAATTTTTTCGTATAGAAAATGTTATCCAGATAAATTTTTTCGTATAGAAAATATTATCCGGATAAATTTTTTCGTATAGAAAATGTTATCCGGATAAATTTTTTCGTATAGAAAATGTTATCCGGATAAATTTTTTCCTATAGAAAATGTTATCCGGATAATTTTTTTCAATAGAAAATATTATCCGGATAATTTTTTTCAATAGAAAATATTATCCGGATAAATTTTTTTCAATAGAAAATATTATCCGGATAAATTTTTTCTATAGAAAATGTTATCCGGATAAATTTTTTCTATAGAAAATGTTATCCGGATAAATTTTTTCTATAGAAAATGTTATCCGGATAAATTTTTTCTATAGAAAATGTTATCCGGATAAATTTTTTCTATAGAAAATGTTATACGGATAAATTTTTTCCAATAGAATATGTTATACGGATAAATTTTTTCCAATAGAATATGTTATACGGATAATTTTTTTCTATAGAAAATGTTATCCTGATAATTTTTTTCCTATAGAGAAAATGTTATCCGGATAAATTTTTTCCTATAGAGAAAATGTTATCCGGATAATTTTTTTCCTATAGAGAAAATGTTATCCGGATAAATTTTGTCTATAGAAAATGTTATCCGGATGACATTTTTAATGGGAAGCAATTTATCCGGATACATTTTTCCTTAGATACATTTTTCCATAGGAAAAAGTTATCCCGATACATTTTTCCATAGGAAAAAGTTATCCGGATAAATTTTTCCATAGAAAAAAGTTATCCGGATAACATTTTCTATAGAAAAAAATTTATCCGGATAACATTTTCTACAGAAAAAATTTATCCGTATACATTTTTCTAAAGAAAAAAATTATCCGTATACATTTTTCTAAAGAAAAAAATTATCCGGATAAAATTTTCTATAGAAAAAATTTATCCGGTAACATTTTCTATAGAAAAAAATATCCGAATATTTTTTTTTTCTTCAATTTTTTTTCCGATAAAGATTTGGTTAGAAAATATTCACGTTTTCATAAATCTCAGCACAAGTTATTTTTCATTTACCTATCAGCCAATTATCGAATGAAATTAATCTATTTGCCATAAACAAAGCCAACTGATTAAAAGTTAAAAATATTTTTTTATACGTAAG